GGCCCCGCCGCTCCTCCTCGTCCTCGCTGTCGTGCGTGGGCCTGGGGGGCGGGGTTTGCATGAACTCAGGCATGTGCCCCGCCACTCTGCGCATTTGAAAGCTGCTTAAACACACAAAAGGCCGAATCCCGACTCCTGGCCCCCCGTGCGCTCACAGTTCTAGAACATTCTGCTCTGCAGGACGTGCCGGAGCTGGGCCACACGGAGACCCAGCCGGGGAAACTGAGGCACGGAGCGGGAGGAGGCAGGCAAGGCTCCTGGCTGCTGTGGATACAGGGAGGCAAAAGGGAGATTCCCCATTTCTGCAAACGGTGACCCCATGTTCTAGCATGAATGCAGTTAAGTTGCACCCCCTAATTTGGCCTGCAGGAAGCAGCTGCAGCTGGCAGATCTCTGAGGCCAGACAGGGCACTGATCTTCATGCAGGAAATGAAGAAACCCAGGGAGAGTGAGTTCTCTCTTCTTGCCTTTCCGGGACCCCAGCTTGGAGAGACGGCCTGACTCGGCGGTCCCAGGGCCTCAGCCTCTGTGAGGATGGGGATGGGAGGCCGGGGATCATGGGGATCCTGGGGGACATGGGGACTCTGGGGAGGATATGGGGACCCTGAAGGGGACATGGGGACCCCGAGGGGACCTGGGGATGACTCAGGGATCCGCTTGGACTGGCCCGGCCCGGCCCCCCTGGTGGTCTGCTCTGCTGCAGCTGGGCCTCGCCCGCTCACCTCCCGCTGGCTGCCAGAGGGACGCGCCAGCCCTTGATCTGGCTGAGCTCCGTGTCTGAGACGTCGATGTGCAGGGGCAGCCGCGGTGCCCACACGGTGACCTGCAGCGGGGCGCTCAGGTGCCGGAACACAAAGTTCACCGCCACGTCTGTCTTTCCCTTCACTTCCCTGCCGTTGACGAAGATGTAGTCGCAGTGGCCAGAGACCTGCAGGGCAGGGCAAGGGCTGGAGACACAGGCCGCTGCACAGCCTTCAGCTCCTTCCCTTTTCTTGCCTTTTCTGGATCTGGGCACAGGACCCAGGGCCTCCCCAAGGCAGCGGCCCTGCCCCAGCTACCCAGCCCTCTGTTCGGTTTCCCACACAGACAATGCTCAGAGCTCCTCCCAGTGCAGGCCCTGAGGGGAGGGCTGGGTGCAGGCCACTCAGCTCAGCTCGGAAGGCATCCTGTGGAGGGAGACCAAGAAGGAGTGGCAGGAGGGGCCCAGGCTGTGGCCTGACTCCTGCCCAGGAGGGAGGTGCAGGACACCTGACAGCTCCCACCTCCCACAGGGCAGCCAGGAGGCCCCCGGAGGGATGCGAAGAGCAGCAGGAGGTGACAGCCAGCAATAGCTGGGGCTGCATCTGCTGCTGACCCCGCAGGCGGGGGTGGGGCTTTCTGAGGGTGTCCACCCTGGTTGAAGTCTCCTCCTGCAGCGGCCTCATCCTTGGGTCCCCTTCGGCCTCCCAGGAAGTGAAGGCCGCCGTCCCTCCTCTGTAGCCTCCTCAGCACTCTGCCCACAGACCCAGCCCTGCTATGCACATTCCGGAAGTCCCCTGGCACCCCCAGGCCTGGCCTGACCCAGATCAGGTGCCCTGGGCTGTGCCCGCCATGCCTGGGGTGGTTGATATTTGCATATTTTTGTTTTCAGTATGTGAATGGTAGAATCTCGCTGGTGACAGGCTCCCTTCTCCCATGTCTAGCAGGTTGTTTCCTGAGAAGAAGGATGATGCAGATCGGAAAGGAATCAGAGGCACAAAGGAAGCAAATGGGAAAGTCTGCCAGCGTCTGGCTGTTGTGCTAACGCTGTTCAGTCAAAGATGAGTCCACATGAGCCGTGGCCATTCCCAGGCGGGGAGGAGGCAGAGGGAAGAAGCCTGTGTCTCTAGCAGACAGGACAGGGCCTGCAGGGGCCAGCGGGAGGGAACTGCGTACAGCTGATAATGGTGCCCCACGGGACAGGGTCCAGAGCCGAGCCCGTCAGTCTGACACCAGGGCCTTGGCAAGAGCTGCACCCTGGGAACCAGGCTTTGCCCTGCCACCCTAATGAACAGAAAGCTGAACATAGAAACCAAGTTTACGGTCCATCTTGTGTACCCAAGTTTATGGGCGTGATTTAAATTGGCCCCATGTGTCTGTATCGCTTCTGAAAAATGTGACACCCTCAAAGGTAAAACATCATATTCACCTTCCAATCTCTTGGTTGCTTATACCAGCTGGTCATGAAGCAGGAGCTCAATGAAGAATCTGACGGATGGATGATGGATGGATGGACAGGTGGATGGAGGGAGGGATGGAAGGGTGGAGAGATGGATGGGTGGATGGATCAACAGAGGAGTGGGTGCATGGACAGAAGGATGGATGGGCCAGTGGATGAATGGGTGGAAGGGTGGAGGGATAGAGGGTTGGAGTGATGTTTAGGTAGGCAGATGGTGGATGGATGTACTGATGGATGGGTGAGGGGATGGATGGACAGACGGACGGATGGACAGATGAAGAGATCCCTGCTTTCATGAGGACACCTGTTCCAGGACAACATCAAGGATCTTGGGAGTGAGACTTAGAAGAAATAGAGGCAGAAACAGCAGAAATATAAGAATCTCATTTGAGAGGTTCCAGCAAGCTCACCCCAGTGCTTCCTAACTTTGTTAGGTCGCTGGGTCCACTGAGAGCACACACAGGTGAGCTTTCCTGCAGAAGAGCACAGCCCCGCCACCTGGCTCTGCATCTCAGAGCCAATGCAGCCACCTGCACAGCACTTTCTACACTGAGCTCTCACTGCTGACTTGCTCGCCTGTCTCCTGCTGGACTGTGTGCTCTGGACAGAGTAGGGTTCCTTCTGGGGGTCTGTGGCCTTGGCCAAATGACATCCAGAGCCAACAGCAGGCCACAATGGCCAATCCAGCTTCCCTATGCCTGCTGGGAGCGGACACTCTGTGGTCTCCTCACTCTTGGTTGGAGGGGATTAAAACGCGTCTGTGCTGATTAGGGGTGGAAAGCAATTTCAGCCAACTTGACCGTAGAGTGTAAACCCATCCCCGACGTGGGCAGGTTTATAGATCCAGACTTAGATCAGCAATCACTGCTTTAATCAATGTTGTAATTCATAGACCATTGGCTTTCTCATTCATCACCTCCTGGGCCTGGATGGGCGGGAACACAGTCTCTCCAGAATATCTAAATAGTGAAGAGGAGCGTAGAGGCAGAAACTTGCCAGGCAGGAGGCTGCTGCTCCTGGAGGTGTCACCTGTGCCCGAGGATGTCGCGGGACACATTCGTCATCTCCTGGGCTCTCCGCAGTGCCACAGCACCACAAAGCAAGCTGGTTCATCTACAAGGAGCCAGAAGCCAGGGGTGGTGCTGCATGGCTGCAATCTCAGCACTCTGGGAAGCTGAGGCAGGAGGATCACTGTGAGCTCGAGGCCAGCCTGGCATTCCTATTTAAAACTGCACTCCCAGAAGCTCCTCACAGCCGTCTGTCACCAGCCACCCTCCCATGTATTCACCTGTTGGATTGCCTGTCCTCCCTCACAGAACGTAAGCTCTGGAGTGTGAGATTTTCATCCGTCTGTCCAGTGTGTACCCACGGGGCCTAGACGCGCCTGGCATGCAGTGGGCTCTCTGCAGACCCATGTTAGGGACAGGTGGGGTCAGAGTTGAGCTTCAGCTCTGGACCCTGGAGGCAGGGGGTTTCCTGTCCCAGAGGCAGTTGTCTCATGTTGGGGCTGGGATGGTGGCTGGCCCGAGGGGAAGTGACAGCTGATGGAGGTGCCTGGCCGCAGTGTGCCTCCCTGGTGTGCCATCTCCACACCATCCACGCCCTGAGTGCTGAGGGGCACTGAGGTCTGGATTCGCCCACAGCCCCTCATGGGTCAGATGCTTTCCCCTTGGAGTCCTGATTTGGAATCATTGCCTTCCTGCTTTCTGCACATGTAGTGTTAACTTCAGGGCTCTTCTCCGAGTGCCTTTGGCCAGTGCCTCCTCAGAGAAGCCCAGACAGCCAGGCCCCATCAGGGCAGACATGGCTTTGGTAATGGTATCCAGGAAAATGGTTTATAGGTGGGATACAGCAGGCCACTTCTGTAATCCGGGACAAATTAAGGAATGGGGCTGCAGTGTGGATGGCAAAGAATAAAAAAGAGGGGAGAGGAGAGGATCCCTCCCCGTAATCACCCCAGGGGACTCCTGTGGCCACAGCCCTAGGCCTAGGGCACCTGCCCCTTCCCAGCCACAGCCCAGAGGGTTGGCTCAAGCTCTGCCCCCAGTGGGAAGCACAGGATCAGGTGTTTGGCCTAAGCCAATCAGAGCTTCATGTTCTTCTAGCCACAGCATTGGTTTAGGGGTGAACACATGAACTACTTGGTCCAATCAGGAAATCTCAGGAAGTATCCAGAGTAGGCTAGGCAAAAAGTGCCTGCTGCTTTCTGCCAGATCTTTGCTTGCAAAGATGTGATCTGAGAGCTCCTTACAGCTGTCTTAGGGCAGCACAGTTTGTCTAAGAATTCAGTCAGCACAGAGGACGCTGAGCCAAGAGACAGCCAGAAATAAAATGACACACTTCTTCACTGAGGTGCCTGGATGCAGCCATCCCTGGAGCCAGAAATCTCTTACTTTCCACACATAGGAACCCAAACCCAAGCCAACTAAACAAAAATCCACCTCTGCCTTTGGCTTGACTCAGTTTTGGTCCCGTAATGTAAGCTCAGACACAAGGGGCGAAGCGATCCGATGGGGGGTCATTGGCTCAGACCCGCTGGTGTGCAGCCCTTCCCAGAGCTCCCAGCAACAGGAAGTTAGGCTGCCATTAAGCTGGCACCACCTGGGCACTGCGATCCTCTAAGAGCACACTGCTGTCCCTGCTGCCCAGGGTCCCTCGTCCTATTGTCCTGACAGCTGCTGAAATATTTTTGGGCACCTGCCCTCGGCCTGTGCTCCTGGCGGTCTTGGTGTGGGCTCCACAGCTGGCTGCGGTGGTCACAGGGGCCGGGCGGCCACACATCACCTGTGTGCAGGTTCGCAGCTCCACCTGGGAGCTGTGAACTAGGGCCGTGCCTGGGGGCCAGGTAGGCTGCAGGGGATCTAGCCCATTACCTTCCACGTCCTGCTCTGTGCCCGTCGGGCTGGCAGCCTGGGGTCACAGAGCTGCAGGGAAAGCGCAGGCAGTGGGGACCGCCTCCATGGAACCTGTCAGGTGGGAGGGAGGCCCAGCACACCCAGGTCTCCCAGAGGCCCGCAGGCTGCAGTATCCAGCAAGCTCCCACGTCAGCGCTGCAGGTTCTCCTGCCTCTGCTGCCAGGCTACTTCCAGACTTTGATTCCTGACCAAACCAGAAAGTCCAGCTGCAGTGCTGGAGAGGCACTGACTGTGCGCAAACCTGCACGCCCAGCTCATGGCATTCTTGGCCCCATCAGACCAGAGCTGCCACTGAGCCAGTCCTGGGCTCTGCCAGCCACCAGCTCCACACCCTGCTGTCCGTGGCTCCTATTCCAGGCTTCCAGGAGGAGTTTCTGGTCTGACGGTGTTGCTGCCCCAAAGATCCTCCCAGGGTCCCCTAGATGTCAGCAGTGGGCTCTGTGTCCGAATCCCTTCAGAGTTGCTAAGGGCTGCTCTGCATTTACAAGGGGAGGTCTGTTTCTGCTCTTGCTTCCCTCCCGGCTGTGGTAGGCTAGAGAGTGGATTTCCTACTGCCTGGCAGGTTGCCGGGGCTGGGGGAGCCTTCGGTAGGGCCGTTCTTACCCAGCTTGGGTTTTGTACCCACCACAAATATATGGAGCTGACACGGTGTCTCCAGCCTGTGACCTCAGCACTCTGGGAGGCTGAGGTGGCAGGATGGCAAGTTCGAGCCCAGCCCAGGCAACTCGGTGAGATCTCATCTTGAAAAATAAAAAGGGCTGGGGCCGTAGCTCAGTGTGAAGACCCTGAGCTCAATCCCCAGTGCCACAAAAGCAAGTCAAATAAAAAGAAAAGCCCAATATATCATCCATGGTAAATATACACACTGTCAGCCTGTCAATGAAATAAACACAGAGAGCAAGAAGGGGAGAAAGGAAGGGAGGGTGGGTGGAGGGTGCATGGGTAAAGGGAAGGAAGGGAGAGAAAAGAAAAGCTGCCAGACTGGCACGATGCCAAAATGAAGGGACAGGACACACAGGAGCTCTTCCTTCAGCACAGGCTGTCCCTGCGCCCTGTCTCCATCCCCGGCCCTGGCCTGGCCTGGCTGCTCACCTTGATGACATCCTCATCTGTGGACACGCATTCCACCTGCTCCGAGACGTCTGTCACCGCTCCATGCTCCTCCACCGACACCACCCTCACCGGCATGGCCACTGTCTTGCCCGTGAGGATGGCCGTGTTCAGGATCTCGGTGTCCTGCGGACAAGGGGTCAAGGGGACCCCGGTTCCTTAGGCACTGGTTGATCTCGGGGCCCCCCGGTCCCCCCAGCGCCCCCTTCCCACAAGTCACACCACAGTGCCGCATCAGGGTCTTGGTCAGGGCGGCTGCCTGTAGTCCAGGGCCGCCCTCCCACCTCTACTGGTCCTCTTCCCAGCTTCTCACAGTGGAGAATATCTATTTCGTTTCAAGCAGAAGGAACATGAACCACAGGCTTGGACCGCAAACTGGACTGCGGCCTGGGTTCCTTGAGTGACAGGAGCACAGAACATTCAAAATCCCTGCCTGCCCCTCGCCTCAGGTGTCTGCCAAGGAGGGGACCAGGACCCTGCCTGTTCCCGGCTGGACTGAGGGGAGATCTTGTCTGTCTCTCATTATGCCCCAGAGCTGCTCACAGAGGCCATGAGTGGCCACCTGTCCCTGGTCCCTTCCTGTCCTGGCAGTCCCGGGAGCACAGTCGGTGCTCTTGGGCAGATGGGGTGGACGCTGGCCAGCGGACACAGGAAGCCACCATGTGGTGCCGATGTCCCCACTGCTGTCCCCTGCCCTCTCTCCTCAGCCCTGGAGCATCGGAGAAAGTTTGGTGGTTTTTTGGGAAAAGACCAGTCATATCGGGCGCTTTAAATCACTCACCACGAATCTGCAGAAAGCCTGAGGCTCTTGTGGAAACACTTTGGCACCTACCCTCATAAATGTAAACTGCTCTGGCCATTTTCTGGACAAATTTTATTTTTAATTTTTAAATAAAGAGCAGAGAATTACTTCTGAGTGTGCAAAAGGCTTTGGGCAGCAAAGTGACCAAGAAAACGTTAAAAACAAAAGCGGCCCTGAGGTGTGAGGCATTTATCCATGGGTGGGTGGGAGGCCCCCACAGGGTCTCTGTGGAGAAGAGAGAGCAGACCTGGGCCATGTGCCTGGTGGAGTATGATTCAGCCCTGAAAAGGACACACACTACCATGCAGACGAATTGAGGAGATCTCACACTAAGAGCAGAGCCCAAGACCTAGGGATACCCCAGGTTCCCACCATACATGCCCAGAGCAGGCCAGAGGGTACAGGGAGGGCCTGTGGGGTTGGGTCTGGGGCCTGTCTCCTTCCCTGGGATGAAAATGTTTTGGGCTTGGAAGGAGGGGGTGGTTGGGGAGAAACAGAGATGCACTGAAGTGAAGGGGCAGGTTTTAGGGTTTGTGAATTGACTCTGAAGATGGAAGGGTGGAGGGAGGGATGGCGGCAGGAAGGAGGAGGAAAGAGTGGGGTGGGCTGGGGCAGGTAGGGGACCATAGAGCCGCACGCCTCGGGAGACCCTCACGCAGGTCATCCTGTCTCCCTTGGCCTGGGATTGGGGAATCTGGGGCCCAGAGCAGGTTGGCTCTTCTGCTCCCTGCTGCTCCAGGCCCCAGGTCAGGGCCTGTGCCCTCAGGACCCCGGACCCATGCAGGTCCAGTCGGTGACACGGAGTCACCTGTCGACTTGGAGGGGAGCCTGCAGACCCGGAGAAACCCAGAGCATCTGGGGCCAAGAGAGCCCTGGGGTGGGAGTGAGGGACTGAGTACGCGGACACAGGCATCCCGCCTGTATGCAGGTGTTTGCATATGCGTTTGCATCCGGTTTTTCCCTTTACAAAAGAGGATACACAGCCAATAATGCTGAGATCTCCACTGTCCTGTTTTCCAATCTTTCCCCCACTGCCCTCCCTGAGGCACTGCCCTGGACCCGGCTGTCTTTCCTGCCTGTCACTGTACCATTTCACCCCATCTGTGTCCACTCAGGGAGCCCATGGCTGTCTTTGGCTGGACGCTGGGTGTGGGTGACACAGCCAGGGCCTCTGCACCTCCTCCATGCCCCGGAGTCCGCTGTCCTGAGACCAGCAGGCCTCCTGCTTTGCCCACCTCTCACCTCTCCTCTGCTGCAGGAGGCGCAGTGGGTGCTAAACCCATAGATGTCCTGGGCCTGCGCCAGCCAATGGTCAGCCCCTCAGTCCTGTCCTGTGCTCGCAGGACTGCCCTGCCCGGCAGAGTCAGTGTGTGCTGTACCGGGGACCAGGGATCCCCCTGGGACAGGGAGCTGGGTCTGCACCGGGCCCAGCATTCAAGTCCCGCCCAGCTCGGGACGGGTGCCTCTGCTCCTTCCTGCCCTGGGCGCTTGGCTGAGCTGGGCCACACGCACTGTCCATCAGTACCGTCGTGCAAGCTGACCCCAGTCCCTCTCAGCTCCTTGTCTCCCAGGACGCTGCTCCTGGCCCTGGAGCACTTGGTGTGAACCCAACCGTCCAGCTGCAGAGCCGGGCCAGCTGCCTTCGACCTGCATCTGGGGAAGGCTCCAGATCAGCGGTGCTGTGAGGCCGCCCCCAGGACACGTCCTGCTTGAGATCCGGCGGCTCTGCAGGTATGACAGACCGAGTTGTGTCCCTGTCCAGCTGGCGGCTCCTCCCCTCATACTCCCCAGCGCTGGGCCTCAACGTTGCGTGTCCTGCACCAACGCTGTTCAGGATGCGCAGGGCTCAGCCCCAGCCCCGCCTGCCTGGGGGCGCTGGTTCCTCTTCAGCTCTGCTGAAGGTGCCATGCAGAAGACCTCTCCTCTGCTGGCTGTCACCCTGCACCCACGGCTCTGAGCCCCAGGGCCTAGCCAGGGCCTGGGCAGGGCTCTCCGCAGCTGGACCAGACCAGACCGAACCGGAAGCGCGACTCTGGCCCGGGGAGATCAGCTGGCACCGGCCGCCTGCTAGGAAGGCTGCTGGGCTCAGGCTATGGAGGGCAGGACCAGGAGATGGGTCCCGCCCACTCGGGGGGCAGGGCCAGGCCGGCTGGGGCCCAGCAGCACTGCCCGGACTTCCACTGCCCAATCTTCCTCTGGACCCAGTGGGCGGAGATTGCTGCTGGTTCACGCCCACTGAAGACCCATGGCTTTCTGATTGGTTTGTTACCCTCTGTTCTGTTCTAAATGGTTGAAGCCTGTGGCACTCCAGCTGACAGAGTTTGAATAGTAACTTTTCCCCCCTGACCAATCGGCAGTCACAGGGACAGTGTGAGCTCTCTCTGGTCTCGGCAGTGCTTTGGGTGCCCTTCGAGAAACCATGATGCCCCCTAATCTGCTGGAAGCAGACCAGTCATGATTTTTTGTTTTTCCGGTACAGGGCATCGAACTCAGCACCTTGCGCTTGTGAGGGTGGTGCGGTGCCTCTGAGCTACACCCCCGCCCCCCGTAATGACTTTAATGAGACTCTCCCAAGGGTCTCTTCCGGGCACCTGGAGCACAAAGGATAGTGTTCCTGGCCGAGGTGACCGGCAGGGGCCCAGGCGTGGCCGTCCCCGCGCGGCACCTAGCTGGTGCACCAGCCACGTGGTTTAGAGCAAGGCTTCCCGCTCTTCCCTTAGTTACCAGGGGGACGCAAGGCGGACCACTTAGGCACTGTCTGGGGGCACGGAGCGAAGCCTCTCCCAGAGGACAGGCGCTGACAGCTCTGCGCCCAGGGCCAGCACCACGGAAGCCGGGTCCCAGCTCATTTACTTTCAATCCATCCCCTTTGCAGAGGCCAGGTGTGGGGGACCAACTCCACTCAGCTGTCAGTTTGCTCCTAATGCAAGATGGAGAAGCTCTCGGAGAACAGGCATTTAAAACAAGAAGCAATTCAGCTTGGGCAGCCAGAGCCCTCGGGAGCCAGGCGTGAGTGAGTGAGGAAGCTCCTGGGGTGGGATGTGGGAAGCAGGACTCCTTCTCCCAGGTTCAGTCTTGCACGGTGTGCAGTACTGGCTTCTATTACTTTAGTACAGAGGAGAGCAAACTATCGGTGAATACTTAAATTTTTAAAATGTATCACAGTAAAAGACACGCCGTTAATCCTCCTCATTGCAGTGTGTGATTAAAAACAAGGCCACTGCGGCTGCCCAGCGCCCTCCAGCGGAAAGGCGCCAGTGTCCTCCTTCTGCTCCTTCACTGGATCTGGCAGGGTGTGACCGCTGGCTCCTCCCCGAGGTCAAATTTCCTTTAAAGGCAATTGGGCAGGGCACTGAGGCAGCCCCAACAGGGCAGCTGAAGACCCTAGGGATAGAGGGCTCCAGAGCTGCTGCAGAAAGCGGCCAGGAAGGCAAACAAGAGTACAAAGTGAGGAGGAGGAGTTCGCGGAGATTCACCACAGTGTCTTTATGTAGTAAGGTTTAAAATTTAAATGTTTACTGTATTACAAGATCATATTGTTGCTATGAACCAAGGATGCCTCAAAGCCAGTCCCAAGGACAGAGTCTGCTCCTGCTGTGTTTTGAAGGTGTTGTATGGAGAGGGATGCATTGGCAATGGCTGGGTCTGGGTCACATTTGTGGCCACCAGAGGAGGGGATATGGAAAGATTTCCTTAGATAGAGGGAGGGGGGATAGCCTGGGTGCCCTTAAAATTATGGGGTGTTTTCATCAAGTGGAGACTTTGGGCTGTGAACTTAGGGGGAAGCCCCAGCACTGTGGGGCTCTTGATGATGGCTTGGGCACAGCCACGTCTGGCTTTCCAGGTGTTCTGCAGCCGGTCAGGGCCCTGCTGGACCAGGAGTCAGACTAAGGTACCCAGCGATGACCAGAGGTGCCAGTTAGTTCCACTGCACTTGCCAACGGAGAGGGCTAGCAGCTCTGTTTAATGTCTCCTGCTCAAACCTGTCCCAAAGCCATGGCCTACTTAATCCTCACTACTCGTGGCCAGCACTGAAATACTAATGGCCGACACTGCCCCCTAGTGGCTGAGATAGACCACACAGTGCGCCGCAGCCAAAGTGACCAAATGGGTGAGTCCTCCTCCTGTGGGAGACCGCCTGGGTACCCCTGGCAGCCCAACGCCCACCCAGGGCACGTGAGTCATGCAGTGCGACCCTGTGAAGCCCACGGGGCCGTGGGTATTCGCGATGGCTCCCAGTATGGAACCTTCGTCGCCTTCTGCCCGAAGCGCTCCCTTCTCCCTCTAGGTTCCCAGGTGGCCACCTCCGTCCCCTCTGCACCTA